TACGGAGCGCCGCGGGGCCCAGCCGGGGAGGCGGAGTCCGAGCCGCGGGAGTCACGTGACCGGAAGTCGTCCAGAAGAAGCGGAAGTAGCATGTGCTAGGGGAGGGGGCGGTACCCGGAACCCGGAGGGGAAAGGCTCGTGGAGTGGGTGAGCCACCGGCAGCCAAGATGAAGGTGAAGATGCTGAGCCGGAACCCGGACAACTACGTCCGCGAAACCAAGTTGGACTTGCAGAGAGGTGAGCCCGGTTCGTAGGGAGCCCGCGGCCTGGGTGTGGCCTCGCTTCCACGGAGGAGGGCTGGCGGGGAGCCCGGCGCTGTGGTCTCTTTCTCTCCCTGCTCCGCTTTCGCCAAGGCGGACTCTACCGATCGGGCAGTGGCGGGACTGGGCAGCAGATAACTCTCCTGAAGTCCTTTTTAAAAAGAACTTGGCCTGTGGTCAGTGCGAAAGTTAGCTCCTCGAAGAATGCTTCCGCTCCTCCCCACCCCCACCCCCCGCCCGGTGCTGCTCCAAGACGGTTCTCAGGTTCCAGCTGTTGGAAAATGCAACTTGAATGAGCCACAGTCGTGGATTGAAGGATTTAACAATTAAATTAAGGTTTCTTCAACCCTTACTGCTGCTCTAACTCCTGGCCACTTTGTTACTGAAAATTACCTACGTCTGGATGTAGGAAGAGATACAGGTGAAACAAAGCCATCCGTTTTCTCTTAGGAACAACTCCTGGAATTGGAAATGGTTAATGAAATTAATGAGTTTTTGTTTATCCGTCCTGGGCTCTTCCCCCATTAACATGCTGACTGCTTAGGAATTATATTATTGCTCATGATAGCTAAGTGACAAGGGGCCAACCAAATGTCAACAGACTATTATAAGTGAAGATAATAAGTTCAGAGGCCTTAAGGCAAAAATGAACTTGGGGGTCATGTTATCAGAGTTTGTGTAAGGGAGAAGTGATGGAAATTGAGGCTGGAGCAATATTTCATTATTTTGGTTGAGTAATGAGATAGAGGCTGTCAGTATACATATGAGCATTGCTAAGAAGTAAATATTCACAAGATGCTTGCAGATTAAGGAACAAGACAGGAATGTTTCAGATACGCATTAGGGTATGTCACTTGGATTTGACATTGTCTCTATTTCTTGAACCTGGTTTCATCTTTCTCTCTACTTTTGCCTTTCTCACAAGTAGTTTATATTTACTCTTACCAGTCTGAGTGCATTTTAGGCATTATCTTAATGCAGGAATGAGTGAATGATTGGCTAGTCATGGAATCTCAGTGTTAGGAGGTGATTAGTTAACTGATCTTGTTGTTGAAGTTCTTACTTATTTTCTACTAGAGGCCTGGTGCACGAAATTCGTGCACTGGGGGGGGGTGTCCCTCAGCCAGGTCAAGGGACCCCACCGGTGCATGATCGGGGCCGGGGAGGGACTGTGGGGCGGCTCCAGGGTGTGTCCAGCCCATCTCACTCAGTCCTGATTGGCTGGACCTCAGCCACAAGCTACCCTAGCAGTCAGAGCTTCTGCCCCCTGGTGGTCAGTGCATGTCATAGTGACTGGTCGACCGGTCAGCTGCCTGCCCCCTGGTGGTCAGTGCATGTCAGAGCGAGTGGACCTAGCAGTCAGAGCTTCTGCCCCCTGGTGGTCCGTGCATGTCATAGTGACTGGTCGACCGGTCAGCTGCCTGCCCCCTGGTGGTCAGTGCATGTCAGAGCGAGTGGTTGAGCGGCCTTATCATATCATTAGCATATTACGCTTTGATTGGTTGAACAGACAACCAGATACTTAGCATATTAGGCTTTTATTATATAGGATAGGATATATCTTCCTATTTTTTTATACTTCATGATGGAAGTGTTAACAGCAAAATGAAAAAATAAATGTATTGGAGCTCTGTAAAACATAAGGAAGACATTTGTTACCTTTCTTTATCCTTTCATTCTTGTTTAGCTGTTATTTCCTTGCAGATTTTGTGCAGCATCCATATCCTTATTTGAGTACTTTTATTCATTGACCTGGAGTGGGCAGGGGAGAGCAGTTAGGAGGATCAGGTCAGCAGGGGAGAGCAGATAGGGTGATCAGTCCGGCAGCGGAGAGCAGTTAGGGGGATCAGGCTGGCAGGCAGAGGCGGTTAGGTGCGATCAGGCAGGCAGGGGTCCCAGATTGGATAGGGTGCAGGCCGGGCTGAGGGACCTTCCCCCTGCCCCCAAGCATGAATT